AATAGGGCAATGATAATATTCTCTGACGAAATAATGGAAGGCGCGCCCCCGGGAACGCGCCTTCACGTGAATAGTGAAATAATAGGTACTGATATATCTAGTGTCCCCGAGGGACATGAATGACATAATAGGGCAATGATAATATTCTCTGACGAAATAATGGAAGGCGCGCCCCCGGGAACGCGCCTTCACGTGAATAGTGAAATAATAGGTACTGATATATCTAGTGTCCCCGAGGGACATGAATGACATAATAGGGCAATGATAATATTCTCTGACGAAATAATGGAAGGCGCGCCCCCGGGAACGCGCCTTCACGTGAATAGTGAACCGATTATAGAAACTATTATATGCAACGTATTATAAACTTTCAAAACAAACTTCAGTTCACAATCTTTCAAATTCTCAAATTCCCAAACTCTAAATTCTCAAATTCTCTGAAAATGAGTCGTCTTTCTGCTGTTGTTTTGTATGATGGAGAAATTAAGGAAGCTGAAGAGGGGGTTGTTTTGAGTCAGATCATTATATCCCCTTAACCTTGAAGAGAAACATCACAATTGAGGAGTTAATCACAAAAATTTCGTTAAAGATTCGTGTAGCAGGCCAGAGAAGACTATCTTCACTTCATACAGATTTCCTACTGAACTTTTTCCGCTCACGTATACATCATTTCAGCTTTCAAACGATGATGATGTTTCTATGATGGTTGATGCTCATATGGGGAGTTCACAATCTCTTATTGAAATGTATGCCACTTTTATTGAGGTTCGTGTAACTCGTGGTCTCTCATATTCCTCTCACTTTGGCATTGCATATCAAACTGATCAAGTTGATAGCCCGACACAACTTATCTGTAATGATTTCACATCATTAATGGCGGATCCAACGCCATATACCATGCCATCAAGTTCAATAGGAAGGCATTCATCTGCAACTGCTTATGATCTCAACCCACGTGGCTTCACCAATAATCCATATGGCAACATCTCTTCTACTTCAAGGGGCAGACATTCATCTGCCAATGTTTTCGACTTACATATGGAAATGCCAACGAGACGACAGTCTATTCACATCCCACATGATACAATGGCCTCAAGTTCAAGGGGAGGACACGCAAGCGGGAACTTATTTGACCTCAACATTGGATTATCGGAGGAACCCTCATCTCCACCAGAAGAACCTCTTCGGGAGCCAGGTGCAGATGGTGCTGAAAACGGGATTATTCGTTGAACCTGACTCACCACAGTTTAACGTACATTCTGATGATGACGAGGATGACGTTCCGATAAATACAACACCAGCCGAACTTCCTGCACATATGTATGAGGCTGATTATGATGCAATGTATGAGCCTGAATTTCCAGATCTTCCTGATGTTGGAAACTATGGACTTCAATCATCAGTCAATGACGGTAATTTACATATTGGAATGGAGTTCGCATCGAAGGAGGAAGCAATGATGGCAATAAGAGTTACAATATTCGTAACTCAGTTCAGTCCCGAGTTGATCGATCTAACACGGAGAAATATGTCTGCTACTGCGTCCAACGTCACAACGGATGTCAATGGATGGTCCGTGTATCAAAGAGGAAGGAAGAAAAACTTATGGGAACTAACCAGATACAACGGTCCTCATACATGTTGTGCAACAGGTATAAACCAGGATCATCCCAACTTGGACTCCAACATTATTTGTCAAGCAATCATGCCCATTGTGAAGCAAAGCTCTCATATAGCTGTTGCAGTGTTGATTTCTGCTATACAGTCCCAATATGGGTACACTGTCTCATATAAAAAAGCGTGGTTGGCAAAACAGAATGCCATTTGCAAACTTCATGGCGAATGGGATTCCTCTTACAACGAGCTGCCCAGTTGGTTTCATGTTGTGCAAAGACTTAATCCCGGGACAATTGTTGAGTTCGAAACTCAACATCATTACGTGAATGATCGAATGGTTCGCGATCGCTGCCAATTTTACCGAGTCTTTTGGACTTACCCTCAGTGTATTAATGCAGTCAAGTACTGTAAACCAATTGTCCAAATTGATGGTACTTTCTTGTATGGGAAATACAAGCAAGTTTTATTATTGGCTGTGGTCCAAGATGGAAACCGTAATATTCTTCCTGTTGCGTTTGCCCTCGTTCAAGGAGAAGACACTGAGTCTTGGGCTTTTTTCCTTAAAATTTACGTTTACATGTTGTCACCAGGGAACGAGTATGCATTATTTCAGACCGAGGAGCCGGGATAAAAGCAGCAATGGACTCTTTGGGTACAATGTATAGACCTCCACATGTTCAACATCGTTATTGTGTCCGTCATATTGCTGCAAACTATTACGGAAAATACAAGAAGAACGATGAACGTCAGTTAGTCGTGCGGATGGGTATGTTACTTTTTCCCAATTTTTCTATCAATTTCTTATTACTTATTTATACTTCATATTAACTATTACATATTCCTAATGACTTAGGTTACGAACTCTTACCTCAAAGGTTTGAGTCGATGCTACAAGAGCTGTTTGGCAAAAATAAGAAGGGGTGCGAGTACATTATGGACATCAGCAAAGAAATGTGGACAAATGCATATGACGGGGGGTATCGCTATGGTCATATGACAACAAACTTGGCTGAAGCAATAAATTCAACCTTAAAGGGGGCGCGTCATTTACCAGTCACGGCGTTGGTCAAAACGACTTATTTTCGTTTGGGTCAACTCTTTGCAAAACTCGGTGGACAAGCTCTTACTTGGATGCAAAACGGACATATTTACCACCCAAGACTAGTAGCCGATTTACAGAAAAAATGGCTACATCAAATGGGATGTTAGTTACAAATTTTTCTCGCACCCGTGAATTGTTTCGTGTAACCGAAATGCCACGTCCGCTGCAAGGGATTGAAGCTAACTCTTTCAGAGTTAATCTGCAAGAGAGGTGGTGCGATTGTGGTTTCTTTCAAGCACTCAAATATCCATGCTCTCATGTCATTGCTGCTTGCTCACATTCGCATTTGGACTACAAAAATTATGTTGATCCCGTATACCAACTTTCACAAGTTTTCAAGGTATATGAATTTGAGTTTCCGCCCATAGGAAACGAAAGAGACCCAAATGAGATTCAAACTTGGCTTACAATTGTCCCAGATCCATTGCTATTGAGGGACTCAGGTCGTCCAAAATCTACTAGAATACATTGTGATATGGATATTCGGGAGAAGTCAACAGAACAAAACGATGTGGGCATTGTAGAAACATCGGGCACAATAGAAAAAAATGTCCAGCTCTGTTATCATCGTATAACCGTTAACTCTTATGTAATTAAAGTTTTTAAATGAATGTTTTTATTTCTAATAATTTAATGTTATTGCATTTATATAATTTGTCAATGTATGTACACCTAAATAATTTTTTTTAACTTTTAAATACATAAATATATTTAATATATTTATTTAATATAATATTTATATTATTAGTTATAATTTTTTTTAAATATAATAATAATTCCACCTTCTAAGTAGAGAAAATATTAAATTAAACAAATTAAAAGTTATTAAAAAATTTATGTATACGATGACACATTTCATGTTCTGATTGGAGGATTAAATTTATTAAATTAAATTTTCAATAAGACTAATTTTATAAATATGTAAGTCTTGAAGATTAAATATGTAATTATACTAATTTATTAACTTATGCATCAATATTTTCGTTAAATATTGATATGAGATGACTAGATTGATAACATTTAAATAATTAACTGATAAATTAATAGATCGATAATCAAAATCAAAAATACTCGAAACTTGATAATTCTTACATTATAATCGAAACATTTTACATAATATATTATTAATTTATAATAATAATAAAATTAAACTATTTATTATAAAACAAAATACGTGTCTGCTGAGTTGGCAAAGGCGCGTCCCCGGGGACGCGCCTTTCACACGTGGCATCCAACTCAGCGAAAAAACCGGGTAAAGCGCGCCCCCGAGGACGCGCCTTTGCCAACTCAGCAGAAAGGGTGCTAGTTTTGGAAATATTGGTGGAACGGTGTTAGAAAAGTAAAAATAAAAACAAACGGTGTCAGTGGGGTAAAAAAACCATGAAGTTCATGACTTTATCGGGTGACAAAATTATATCTTTAATCCCTCCTTAGTTTGATGTAGACTCTCGAATGTTGAGGTTTTGAGATTTTTACTTTTAAAATTATAAATTATAACATTTAACTTAGGTATAATTTTAGTATTTAAATAAAAAATAAAAACTTAAATTTAAAATCACTTTAATATTATAAAAAAATAACAATGTCAATCGAATTAGTTCTGAATCTATCAAATTTTATGATTTTAGTGTTCGTATTTGTCTAAAATTAAGTAGATTTTGAGTTCGAGTCGTTGTGAATATAAAAAATCTCCTCCGAAAAACACACCTGTGCCACCTAAGTTGGTTTGTATCATTAAAGATAAAACCTTGATCACTGGGAAGGACAACAACAAAAATTAATGAAAATGTCATTTTAATTATATAAACTTTTATTACTTATTATTCTATAAAAATTAATAAGAATCTAATGAATAACCTCAATAATTTAAGAGTATTGTTCTTTCTTGAGGTCATAAGTATGAGTAATTACGTTTGTATAGTGTGTTTACGCCCTTAATAATGATGGTCATATATTACTTTTATAATTAATCTAATAATGATTAATTATTTGATGGATCGATTGTAATTACAAATTTGTAGGTTGTTTCTAATGATAGAGATATAGACATATTAACTAAAATGAAATAAATTGATATGTACCAACGATTAAATCATAACTAAATACTACATCTAAAAGTCTTATTTAAGGAGTTTAATAGCATATGTTACCAAAAGAGAAAGTGTCACTGGCTGGGAGATTTCTGTTCTGTTTGGGAAGGCAAAGGACAAATTGTGCAGGAATCGGTGATTCCATCTCCAGAAATAGAAACGATGGGAAAATGCAGGAAAAAGAAACTCGGTAATGGAAACGAAGATGTTTTCATTTGATTCGATAAAGCTGAGAGAACCCAACAAGAAAGTAAAGTTCTGCAAATTACATATGAAGATGATGAAGGATAAATATATATATATATAAATAAGCTAAGAAAATCTCTAGGAACGCTACCTTTCATCCACGTTTTTCGAGCCAATCAATCGCCGTCGGAAAAATAAAGTTCGAATCCTACGGCTTAGATCCGCCGCCACTGCCGGACGCCGACGAGGCACTCATCATCTTCTTAAACTCCTCGAAATTGACGTGACCATCGTTATCCGAATCAACGGACTTGATCATCCCCACACAATCTTCGACCGTAAACGACATCCCCAGGCGGTTCAGAACCTGATGCAGCTCGGTGGCCGAGATCAGGCCGTTCCCATTCACATCGTACATGTCGAAGGCCTCTTTCAGCTCGGAGACGGCGGTTCCGGCGTCGGAGGACGAGGTCCAGAAGGTGGAGAATTCGGAGAAGTTGATGTATCCGTCTTTGTCATTGTCGATGTCGTCCATGACGCGCCTGAGCTCATCCTCCGAGTAGTTGGACCCCATTGCTATCAACACGTCGCGGAGCTCCGTCACGGAGATGTATCCGTCCTTGTTGGCGTCGAACTGGTCGAACACCCTTTTGAGTTCTTCATTGGTCGGCGTCGTGTTACCGGCCGAAGCTTCGGTGGTCGTCGACATGGTGGTTTTGGGAATGCTTTAGAGAAGGGAAAATATGAAGGTATGTTACACGGTTTAGGTATCCACTTGGAAGCGATGGAGAGCAAAAAGGGAAGATCAGTGGGCATTTATAGGGAAAACAGTAAAGGGTCCCCACAATGACCGCCAATAAAATTGGTTTCTAGAAAAATGAAATTAACTTTGTGGATATTATTTATTTATTATAAAAATATAGGTGATATTAAAATGTCATAAAAATACGATATACTTTTATAACACGTTTTTTATATTATTATAGCATATTTAATTGATTTAACCTCAATGTTAAATTAGTAAATATTAAACTAAGATTCATGCCTTTTTATTAAGCCAATTATTTTATTTTTTATCCAAAAAAATATATAAAAGATTATGGTTAGGCTATGCGAATGTCGCTTTATTTTTGATCTTACTGCCTTTGTTCACTAATTTAAAAATTAAGGATACATGACCCCTAATGTTATTGATTCATTCGATTTTAGTCCTTAACGTTCTTGATTCGTTCGATTTTAGTCCATAGGCTGTTAACTCTCATTTGATTTTAATCCCTCTGTTATGTCACATATTCATTAAGGGTTAACGACGAAGGGAATTAAACTGAACGGACTGATAATGTTAGGGACCATTTATACTTAATTTTTAAATTAATGACCAAAGTTAAATATACCCTAAACAAAAAGGACTATTCACATAGTTTACGCAAAGATTATCCTCCCTTTTAGCCTAAATCAATTAGTACTAATATAAGTTAATTCAATAATAAAAATTAAACAATAATGATTTTTCATCGTAATATATCGACAAAAAGGCATCAAAAGTGCTTGTATTAAAAAAAAAATATTTTCATCGTATTATTTCTCTCTCAATGTGATCATTCAACTCATAAAACAAACTTAATGTGATCCTTTTAACCAATTTTTTTCATTGTTAACCATTACAGTGCTCACGCGCCAATTTACGGTGTTGACATAATGGTCCACGATGTTGACATTATAATTCATCTATCATGTTTGAGTTATCAATTTAGTCAATTTGTTATGTCATTCGCCACATTAATTTGTCACCCTAGATTGTCATGTCAGTACTGTGAGCTGTCACATCAATACTGTAACAGTCAACGATAAAAAATATTGATCAAGTAGTTATATTAAGTTTATTTCCGAATTTGAGAATCACGTTAAGAAAAAATAATAAGAGGATTATATTGATTTATTTTTTTGTAAAATTACAGAGACCGTTGATATATTTTTGCCTCATATATGATACTAAATAAAAAGTGGAAATAAAGAAATAGAAAAGAAAAAGCGGGAAGAAGCGGTTGCAAGCCGCGTATGACGATCCATGTGCTTAGTTTGATTGGAGGGACCGAATTAGCTTTTCAATTTCATTGATGGGCTACGGACATCGTAGGGCAGACGCGGGTTCCACGCGCCATTTTCTCCACTTCCGTACTACTTCGCCACCATAATTAATTCGTGGGAAGTTACCAATGAGGAGGCTTTTGTACTAATGTCAATGTCATACCAAGATCCAATAAATGACATGGACTTGGACCCATAATATTTGGGTAGACTTGTTTTTGGCAAACAATGTAAAAAGAAATTGAGAAATACAAATTTAAAAAATATTTTAAATTTTACAATATTCAAGAGTTAAATCAAACTTATTTATCTATGCCTGTAAACGAACATAAACGAATACGAATATAAATGAATAAATTTTTTTTTGTTCATGTTCGTTTATTAAGGAATATAGCTTGTTCATGTTCGTTCATTTAATAAATAAACGAACATAAACAAACACGAACATAAATGAACACGAACATAAACGTTGGAGACCCTACCTTCCATTATTCTTTCATGAAAATAGTCGACAATGCAAATCAACCAAATCTATAGTGATAAATAGCGTAAGAGCTGATTAGCAGTGGTGAAATGTTTGAAAATATCAAATATTTCGATCAATCTTTTAAAGATATTAAATGATTCACACGACTTTAATTTAACGCTATAACATTTATCTTAGTGATCCATGATTACATATGAACAATCATTTTTCACTATGTTATTCTAATAAATTCGCCGACTAAAAGTTTTGTGATATCAATGTCAGACTTTAGTGATGTTTGTTAATAATGGTCCTTTTCGTTGACAGAGTAGAAAATTTAACAGCATGAAGATTTCGAACGGTACAAATTGGACTACAATGCAATAACATAGATCCGAAATCTCTTCGATACTACATATCATAACTGATATTATTGCTTAACCACCATTTAAAATTTTAACGTACCTAAAGTCTACTCCACAACTAAAGGTCACACAAGAACTATGAAAACAAAAGTTCATTGTCAAAGTATATTTTCTACTTATTAATGAGTTCTTTCTAGAAACCCCATTACTTCGACTATTACACTCATTTTCAGAAATTGCATAGAAATCTTTATTTTGTTTTCTGGAAAATTCTATATATTTTTCTTTTTAATGATGCTCATATACTTTCGATTATTACATTTATCTTCTCATCTATTTCTAGAAAGAAGTATGATGTTTTCTTGAGTTTTAGATGTGAAGAAACCCGCAATAACTTTACATATCAACTATTAAGCCAAATAAAACAGAGAAAGAGATGAAAACATACCTGTAAAACTTCAGATTGCACTATAATATAACTTGTTTTGAAGCTTTCAGCGATCGTCTCCACCCTCCAGTGAACACTAGGGTTTGGGGGAAAAAAGGGAAAATGAATATAGGAGCGAGGTGCCTTACGGGTTAACATATTGTATTTAATCTCCTAATAAAATTGGGTTAATTATAGAGTTGATCATCAAAATATCAGATTAATTAATATTTTTAACATACATACAAATTGATCACCAAAATTGATTTAAGAAGATTGAGTTAAACATAAATGAATGAACATAAACGAACATAACCGAACGAACATAAACGAACATAACCGAACGAACATAAACAAACATAACCGAACGTTCACGAACGTAAATGAACGAACGAGACCTATGTTAATGTTCGTTTATTTAATTAAACGAACACAAAATCTTATTCATATTCGTTCATTTAATAAATAAACGCACATAAACGAACTTCCAGCCGCACGGTTCATGAACGGTTCGCTGAACGTTCAGTTCATTTACAGGCCTATATTTATCTAAGCTTCAAATATTACGTGTCAGAGGACGAGACACCTTATCTTTATTGTACTCCCGGTTGTTAATGTTTTACCTTGATTAATTCAAATTTATTTAGGTCACACAATTAATTTTGATGAGTAAATTTTTCAATTAGAGATTTTTCACATACACAAAACGAGAAAGGCCTTATTATTTTCAGCATTACAATGTTTTTTTTGAAATTATCTAACTAGTGTTCTTGAGATTCTAAACCTTCTTATTTTGATTTTATTTTATTTTATCTTACTAATTAACTTAAAGCAACTCCTTGTTTGCTCTCCCCAGTGGCGTCAGGGTGGGCACTAACATCCAAATATTCTTATGTTAGTATTTCATTTTACTTAAGGTGTCTATCTTAAAATTTTATTTGTGTCTATCTATATAAAATTTTATGTTATTAATACATGTGTGCCCACCTTTCTGAATCTGCCACGGGCTCTTCCATGTCATTTTCTTCCACATAAACGTCAGGTTGAATGAATCCACAATCACCCAGTCTAAGTAATACATGGACTGTATTTTCCCGAGGAAAACAAGTCAATGCTGAAATTGGGAGAATTTCACACAAAATTTCCTGTTAATGACTTTGATGCAGATTTTTAGTCTATCTTGGAATATTTGGAGGCACTGTAACGACCTTTAAAAAGGATTCAAATACTGATGGATGGGCATTGGTATTTGAATTTCCCTACTAATACCATGATATCAAAGCTACTAATTTGCTCTCTTTTCCTCTTTTGTGTTCTTTGTAAGCTGGATCATGTTCAATCCATGACATCAGTGAACGAGACTGAAATACAAGCATTGCTTGCCTTCAAGGCTCGAATACGAGTTGATATATATGGGGTCTTCACCTCTTGGAATGATTCTCTATATTTCTACAACTGGCTAGGAGTAACATGTGATCGACGACATCGAAGAGCGACTGCTGCCATGGAGGCTAAGAATGATGAAAACTCAAATGAAGGAGGAGGAAACTTAAAGATAGAGAGATGACAGAATGAAGATTTTATTGATCATTGAAGAAAGTACTCTGCTTACAATCTAATATAACTGTGGCTTATATATCCCAAGTAACCAACAACTATAACAAAATAATAACAACTAATAACAAGCTAATAACAAACCATAACAAACTCTAACATTCACTCTACTTTTCCACCTTTTAATTTTTTTCAAAATGAACTTGTTATTAGAAAGTTGATCTAACAAAGAGTGCAAACTTAATAAGCTGGAATTCAATCGTCTTGCCGTCTTGATGAACAATTTACCGAACAAATTCTCTTTCACCTAAAACATCTTTTTTCTTCAACTTTCCTTGGTTTTTCTTCTTCTTCTTTTCAAGAGTTATTTTTCATCTTCATTGTTCTTCCTCTTCACTTATTGGGACTTTCTTTTTGTTGGAAGCAATACGGTTAAGCTACGAGCTCCCGGATGCAATCTGAAGCCTCTCTTGGGCAAGAAAACATCCTATTTTGTCTGGTTAAGGACGACAAAGATGTTAAACTCTTAACCCTCCCCAGAGATTTTCTTATATGGTAACTTGGCTGTTAAGCCTCAACAAGTAACTCGATTGCATCATCTAGAGGAATTGGTTCTCGCCAACAACTCCTTCCAAGGTGAACTGTAACACCTATAGTTTGTATATGTCACAAACTACAAGTTAAAGATGCCACATCAACTTTACAAATATTTATTGATCATAAATGCTTAAAATTTTGTTCTATTATGAAACATTTCATTGTTAACTTTACAATTATTCCATTAATAGTGAAATCATAAAATAATAACTATCACATAAATCAATCTTAATTTTAGGCTGAAGTTTAGTAGTTCAATGGTAAACAATATTGCTTAAAAACTGCCTAATTTTTAAATATTTCTTTGTTCTCGTAAAATATTTTTTATCTAAAATATAAAACTTCGATTCATATTTATAACCCTAATAATATATCTTAGACGTTTCTTATTCGTATACATATCATCTAGAAAATTTAAAATAGTAGGATGTCATTGTTGATACGTGTAGTTATTCTTTGTTGATTGATGTCAACTCGACTCCTTCACTTGCTATTCTGCTAGGCCTAATACCAGAGTTTCTATCTGAACTTCCCCTTCTCACCAATCTCAACATGTATTTTGATAACTTTGAAGGAAAAGTGCCAACGAAAGGAGTGTTCAACAACAGTGCATTCTCGGTTGTTGGGAACAACGAGTTATGTGGTGGGATTAAGCCACTTCGATTGGCTACTTGTCCTACAGAAACTGCAAAGAAAGGGAAGAACTTTCCACGTAGAGCGATAATTGCATCTGGTATTGTCCTCTTCCTTGTTGTTTCGTTCTTCATTTCTCTTGTTGCAAATTTGCAATCAAACGACGGCAGAGTTTGTCAAGAAAGAAAGAGGACATTGCCACAACTTCAGATAGGAAACATCCAAAACTTTCCTACACCGAGCTCCTTCATGCAACCAACAGTTTCTCTTCAGCCAACTTGATTGGCAAGGGAAGATATGGGTTAGTCAATAAAGGGATTCTAAGTGGTGATGATCAAACAACAGTTGCTGTGAAAGTACTTAATCTTCAACAACGGGGTGCTGATCAAACTTTCAAGGCTGAATGTGAAGCTCTTAGGAAGCTTAGGCATCGAAATCTCGTCAAGGTCATTACTTCTTGCTCAAGCATTGATTTTCAAGGTAACAACTTCAAAGCCTTGTTGTTCGAGCTCATTCCAAACGGGAGCTTAGAAAATTTGTTAGATCCAAGTTCAACCAAGGTACATAATTTGGCAAGCTTAAATCTAATTCAGAGGCTCAACATTTCCGTTGATGTAGCCTCTGCATTAGATTATCTTCATTCCCAATTCGAAGGGCCAGTCATCCATTGTGATCTAAAGCCAAGCAATATTCTACTTGATGCTGACCTTACAGCCCATATTAGTGATTTTGGCCTAACAAGGTTTCTTTCCGAGAAAATCGATCAATCCATTTCCGAGCAAAGCAGTTCGGTGGGAATTAGAGGAACCATGGGATATATTCATCCAGGTAACTCCATACCACATAGATACAATTTTGTATTTGATACAATGATAATCATCTTAATGATCTTGTCTGGAATTGCAAAATATGGAATGAGTAGGAAAATATCTACACATGTCGACATGTACAGCTATGGCATCATTTTAATGGAGTTGTTTACGGGCAAAAGACCGACTGACAACATGTCTACAGTAGAGTTAAGCTTACGTGAGTATGTAAAGGTTGCCATGCCTGATCATGTGATGGAAATAGTTGATGCTAGGCTCAATTGTGAACATGAAGCAGGTGCAGCCTTCAATCAAAATGGGAAATGCTTGGGCTCGGTGTTTAGCATAGGAGTGTCCTGCTCGGACGATTCACCGAGTGAACGAATGAATATCAAAGATGTGCTGAGAGAACTTCACAAGGCTAGAAATATGCTACTTGGAGATCACAAGAGACGAGCGTTGCAAAGCTTCAGTTCATCAAAGAAGGCTTTAGACATTCCTATCAAATAGATGTTATAAATACGTTATTTGAGATGCAATATTGCTAGTCATTTTCATAGTATTTGTAATATTTGTAATCTTTACGTTTGTAGTAAATTTGACTTCTCTCATATAATAATAACAATTAACATTATGATTAACTGATAATATTATAAAATAGATGAATCATGTTAAATTAACATAGGAATAAGTCTAAAATTCAAGCATAGCTTTTTCGAGATATTTTATGTTACTCCTACTGTTCATAAGATGCTCTTCAATAAAACGGTGTCTCAAAAGAATTTCTACTACGTCGAGAAAACTAATGAGTTTTTCAAGCATAATAGAAAACTTACGGTTAGTTTCAGTTGTAGTGGTTGCGGTGGCCGGAGTAGTCACCGTCATAACCAAGAAACAGAAAGAGAAAGGAACAAATATATCTACCAAATTCAACAATCACATGAAAGCATCTCCTTGTTTGCTCTCCCCTGTCGTCTTCTTCCACATAAACGTCAAGTTGAATGAATCCACAATCACCCTGTCTAAGTAAGACCTGGACTGTATTTTCCCAAGGAAAACAAGTAAATGTTGAAATTGGGTAAATTTAACATGCCGGTCAAAAATTTCCTTGTAATGACTTTGCTGCAGATTTTTAGTTTATCTTGAAATATTTGGAGGCACTGTAATACCCTTTTAAAAAGGAACCAAATATTGATGGATGGGCATTGGTTTTTGAATTTCCCTACTAGTACTATGAAATCAAAGCTCCTAAGTTGCTCTCTTTTCCTCTTTTGCATTCTTTGTAAGCTGGATCATGTTGAATCCAGGACATCAAGGAATGTGACTGAATTACAAGCATTGCTGGCCATCAAGGCTCGAATACCGGTTGATCCTTATGGGGTCTTTACCTCCTGGAATGATTCTCTACATTTCTGCAACTGGCAAGGAGTAACGTGCGATCGACAACACCGGAGAGTGACTGCCCTGCGTCTATCATCACTCAAGTTGGCAGGTGACCTTTCTCCTCACATAGCCAACCTCACCTTCCTTAGGGTGATCGATCTCGGGAACAATAGCTTCGATGGCCTGATCCCCCAAGAAGTTATTCGATTGCGTCGTCTAGAGGAATTGATTCTGATAAACAACTCCTTCCAAGGTGAACTTCCAAGAAACCTTAGTCGTTGTTCGAACCTAAAAGTCATCAACTTAATGGGAAATGCGCTCGGAGGGGAAATACATGCCGAACTCGGTTCTTTGTCTAGGCTCCAAAGTCTTCTACTACCCATTAACAACTTCACAGGAACAATTCCCCCTTCATTAGGGAACATCTCTTCTCTCCTTCATTTTTCCCTGTCATGGAACCACCTCGAAGGAAACATTCCTACCGAGCTCGGGCAACTCTCAAACTTGAAATTTCTTCAGTTGTCTTTCAACAAGCTCTCTGGTTCAGTTCCTAAGCAGCTGTATAACATCTCATCCATTTATTTCTTTGCTTTAGCTGGTAACCAGTTACAAGGCCAGATCCCTCCTTACATAGGTTTGACCCTTCCTAATCTTGAGGGCCTTTATCTTGGGGTAAACAAGTTTTCAGGACCAATTCCGACCTCAATAGTCAATTCCTCAAGGCTCGTACAACTTGATATGGGTTTGAATTCTTTGTCAGGACCAATACCAAAGAATTTGGGAAGCCTTCAAAATCTAGAAAACATCAACTTAGGTGGCAACTTCCTTGAGAGTTCCAATGATTTAAGTTTTCTCACTTCATTGACTAATTGCACCAATCTGAGTCAATTATGGTTATCCCAAAACAACCTCACAGGTGTTTTGCCAGATTCAATTGGAAATCTCTCTGCAAAGCTCAATCAATTACATATTGGAACCAACTACATATCAGGTTCCATACCGAAAGAGATAGAAAACCTTGTAGGCTTGGAGGTCCTTACATTCCATGAAAATATGCTCACAGGCAGTATCCCTGAATCTATTGGAAAATTTTCCAAGTTGAAATATTTCTATGCTTTCACAAACAATATCATAGGGGAAATTTCTCATTCTTTGGGAAATATAACCGAACTAATTGTTCTCAACCTATTTGATAATTTGCTAGAAGGAGGCATACCTGCATCTTTAGGTAACTGCTTTCGATTGGAAGTATTGGTTCTTTCGCAGAATCGTCTAAATGGCACAATACCAAAGGACGCTATAGGTCTCTGTTCCTTCCTAACAGACCTTTCCATTCGTTCAAATAGTTTAACGGGAACTTTACCACCAGAAGTTGGAAACTGCAAAAATCTCAACTTTTTGGATGTATCAAACAACAAACTTCATGGGGAAATTCCAAGCTCTCTTGAAAACTGTGTGATGCTTGAATCACTTTACCTGCAGGGGAACTCTTTTGATGGTACCATTCCTTTTTCGTTCCGAAAATTAAGAAGAATGCAAGTTCTTGATGTTTCCCACAATAATCTGTCGGGCCTAATACCATAATTTCTAGCTGAACTTCCCTTTTTCACCAATCTCAACTTGTCCTTCAATAGCTTTGAAGGGAACTTGCCGACAAAAGGAGTGTTCAACAACATCAGTGCATTCTCGGTTCTTGGTAACAACGAGTTATGCGGAGGGATTAAGCCTCTTTTATTGCCTGCTTGCCCAGCAGAAATTGCAAAGAAAGGGAACAACTTTCCACATAGAGCAATAATTGCGACCGTCATTGTCCTCTTCGTTGTTTTGTTCTTGATATGTCTCTTTGCAATCAAACGACGGGTCAGCTTATCAAAAAAGAGAGAGGGCATTACCATTCCATCGGAGAAGAAAAATCTTAATCTTTCCTACGCCGAGCTCCTCCATGCCACTGATGATTCTCTTCAGCCAACTTAATTGGTAAGGGAAGATATGGTTCAGTTTATAAAGGGATTCTAAGTTCCGATAATCAAATGCTGGTTGCTGTGAAAGTACTTAATCTTCAACAGATGGGTGCCGACCGGACTTTCAAGGCTGAATGTGAAGCCCTTAGGCATCTTAGGCATCGCAACCTCGTCAAGGTCATTACTTCTTGCACAAGCATTGATTTTCAAGGTAACGACTTCAAAGCCTTGGTGTTCAAGCTCATGCCAAATGGGAGCTTAGAAACTTGGTTACATCCAAGTTCAACCGAGGCACATAATTCACCAAGCTTAAATCTAATTCAGAGGCTCAACATTTCCATTGATGTAGCCTCTGCATTAGATTATCTTCATTCCCAATTTGACAGGCCGGTCGTCCATTGTGATCTAAAGCCGAGCAATATTCTTCTCGATGCTGACCTTACAGCCCACATCAGTGATTTTGGCCTGACAAGGTTTCTTTCCGAGACAACCGAGCAATCCATTTCCGAGCAAAGCAGTTCGGTGGGAATAAGAGGAACTATGGGATATATTCCTCCAGGTAATTCCATTCCACGTTAAAAAAATGGATACACTTTTTTATTTGATATTCATCTAAATGATCTTGTCTGTAATTGCAGAATATGGAATGAGTAAGAAAATATCCACACATGGCGACTTGTACAGCTATGGCATCATTTTAATTGAGTTGTTTACAGGCAAAAGACCCACCGATATGTTTACAGGAGAGTTAAGCCTACGTGAGTACGTAAAGACGGCCATGCCTAATCATATCGCAGAGATAATCGATACTAGGCTCAATTTTGAGGATGAAACAGCCTTGAAACAAAATGGGAAAACCAGTAGAGGCATCGGCATCATCGTGAAATGCTTGGACTCGGTACTTAGTATAGGAGTATCCTGCTCGGATGATTCACCGAGTGAACGAATGAATATCAAAGATGTGTTGAGAGAGCTCCAGAAGGCTAGAAATATGCTACTTGGAGATCACAAGGGATGAGCGTTGCAATCTTCAGTTCATCAAAGAAGGCGTTACACATTTCTATCAAATAGATGCTATACAAACGTTATTTGAGATGCAATACTGCTAGTCATTTTCATAGTATTTTCTCATATTAGTTTAAATAAAAGGGCTAAATATGGTTTTAGTCCCTCTATTATGGTAAAATTTGAAATGAAATTCCTCCAATTTAAATGAATTTGATCATCTATTTTTTAAAATTATTAATGATCTTAAACTAATAATTTTGGTAGTTGCTTTAATTAAAATAATTACGTGGAATTATTTTAGGAAAAAATATCTTCAAACATATAATTTATGGGTAAAAGTACATAAACTGTCTTGTATAGCCAAAGGACCTGAAATTGCAGCAAAACAAATGCTGGCAGTGTATAGGCCTTGGGTTTACTTTTAGCTTAAACATGGACCTATTTTTCATGGGTAGCTGCTAAGATCCTTTTTGATTCGGTCAACACATGGGTAACTTCAAAAAGTGTTGGGGGTTTAATTATGGACTAACCCAATCACGTTTGGGCTACAGTGGACAGCTGCTATATATGCCTATACCTTGTAGGCTCAGTTACCATTTGGTGTTTAGATATGCCTAAGATTCCACTTCATTATTCCAATTACAAGGAACATATATATATATATATGCCGCTCACTCTCTCCCCCTCTTTTCCCCTTTTTCTTTTTATAGTTTGTGTTAGTTTTTGTAGATCAAATCAACTTTTATTTTTTTTAATTTTATTTAACTAGTTGCAGCACCAGTTTTTATTCTGGTTATCGACCGTCAGTTATCTTTTCTCTTTATTTTTTTAGTTTTTAATAAGAATAACTATGTCTTTGTGACATGTTTATTTATGCATTTATGACACGTTTATCTATACCTTTGTGGCACGTTTTTTCATCTTTTGGTAGTTTTCGGGCGTTTAACCGTTATTTTCATTTATCTTTTTTCTCATGGTTGGATTTAACATCGCAATGACTGATCAAGATGACACATATTTGTTATCATGTTAATCTTTCTTGCTTTGGACCCCGGATTGATTTGGATTACATTTTGCACTCGTGGATAGTTTTCTCACGTTGCTTGACTTTGATTTGTGATTTGTCGATGATTCGTTTGCCGATGCAGTCAGATTTGTCCGTATCTTTATTTGTTCGACCATAGGTTAGGTTTTTAACATTTTTTGTATTGTCCTTGTATGATCTCTATGGGAGGTTTTTGTGTCAGTAGTTATAGGAAAATGTCTATGCTTGTAAATCTTTATTGTAATTCTAGATATTTTATGTTCTTAATAAAACTATCGGCTTTCTTTATATATATATATATATATATATATATATATAGGGCATGATCCAATTAAAATGTGTAAAACTAAAATTAAAAAGTTGTTTTAGTTTTACATATTTTTAGTATCGTCAAGGACAATTTGAAGGCTCGGATTAATAGTAAGAGATGAGAAAATATTCGTTAAAAAAGAGTTAATTTCAATATTTGATTTCTCCTCATCCAATTATTTCAAAAAGATGTAAAACTAAAAATTTTAGTTTAAGAGTAAGCAGATAAAAAAAATGCTTTTTATGGAATTTTTTATATTTTGAGTTCGAATTTATAGACACATGTAAATATTGAGAAGATAATTTTAAATCCCGTTTGTATGTCCCCTCACATATTTCAACAGCATCAGTCTAAACAAAGGTATCAATTTCAGAACCCTTCCATTGGGGGAACCACAGACAAGCTGTTGTTCTGTCAACATTAATGACTTTGTTTTTAATGTTGCCTTAGTCTTGAATGTGGTTGTGCAACATGGTCCAATTGCATTTTAAGGCAACCCTTCATATCCCCACAATTCCCCATTGCATCCATTCCATGAAATGTAACATTACATAAGAAAGAAAAAAAACATATTTCCCAATTTCCAACAACAAAAAAGCTACATTAACCAACGTTTCTAATTTTACATACATAGCAAATTAAGGAAAAAAACAACAACAACCGAAGTGAGGGTTTGTTTTTAGTTTTTCAAAGGGAGGAATTCGAAAAACTGGTAATTGGGACTGACGTTGAAGGTCGAGGATGTGGCGGCGACCGATATTTCGTTCTCCTTTTCGTTCGAATTCTCGGAGCGAAGAGGGAAGAGCTGTATGGTTTGGGAGTCCTCCCCGGAGGCAACAGCTTCATGGCTTCTAGCAAGATTGAAGTGGTCGATGACATTGGCATTGTGCCTGCAAGGAGACTTAAAGATGGTGAGATCATGCGTTTTAAAGAAGGGTGCTGCTGCTTCAGGTCCATCGGTCTGATCGGAGACGGGGCGACGGTCGCCGTGAGAGTACAAGTACTAGAGGGAAGACTAGTGCTAGGGCTAGGGATAGGAGACAGGCAAGAGTAGGGGAATTGCATCTTGTGCTGCTGCCACGTGGCATTCCTTTCAACAAAGCTCCTCCTCTGCTGTAATTCCCCTTCCTCGAATTGGATCCATCCATCTGACACCACTGCCTTTGCTGCCATTTGTATAGAGACAGATTCCTGGTAATAGCAAATAATACAAATTAATAATCTTCCTCATGGTCGTGGACAAATCATCACTAAATAATTTGCAGACAAATAATACAATTTTAACCAGAAAGTAAATGAATTATTTTCCCAGGAAACACATTATCAAACTGTAAACTGTGTATAGGAAGACAAGTTTTTACATTCCATTCAAATCAAAGAACATATGGTCCAGAGCTGATATGATAGGCTGTATGGTATGACAAATTGTACTATTGGGATTAACCCAAGTCTTTTCATTGTCAGACTGGCCGAATTTACGTAATATATTATATTTGAAAATGGAGGGAGGGGTGCTCAAATCAAACCTAGACTGAATGCCATGAATGCATATCGAGCACAACACCCAAAAAGAAAACCCAGCTCGTTTCATTACAGCAGCCCCGACAGAAAGGAAGGAGTGCAGCTTTTAAGCCCTTTTCATTTCCCAACAATTCAATGCTTTTTCTTATTCTTGTGTGTGTGTGTGTGTATCTATATATTTCATATTGATATAAAGCCTTGACTATAATCCTTACTCATGTCAGTGTAATCTGGTTTAAGAAGAGTTAGTGAAAGTGGAAGCTTGATTAGAGATGGTGTTACTTTTATGAACATGTTGCATGGACATGTCTACATTGACTAAGGAGTAAGAAAGAGATAGACATAGACCTCTGCTAGTGTACTGCAGTTTGTAGGGAGTGCCCAGTTTTTTGTCTGTTCGACTTCATAAGTTGTCCTATTCGTTTCTGCAGGGAGACGGGTAAATAAGAACAAAAAAGAATGCAACTTTACCCTCTCTTGCAAACAAAATCAATGGTGAAAACCCAGAAAAGCAAAAGCAAAGCAAATGTTTATTCCGTAACAACAAATGGAATATGAATAACCAAAAAAGGGAATATTAATGGGAAGCAGAAATGGAAAAGTAAACCTAACTTCTCAAAAGAAAACAAATTCTTTCAGCAAAAGTCCATTCATATCCAACAATACATACACATATGGATATTCCATTTGGTAATGATTAGTTAATACTATATATTACCTGGATCCTTTCTTTCGAAGATGTCGGGTTCGCGTATGTGTTCATCTTGAGCAGATTCCGTTTGGCGGCGTCGCTTTTGGCGTTCCCTTGCCTTGTGATTTTGGAACCAGTAGAACACATTCTTCCCTTCGATCTTGCCATACCTACGCAGCTGTGCTGTTATATGCTGAATCTGATCGGCGGACGGGGTTCGAGTGCCTCGTCTGTAAAGCTCTTCGAGTGTTCTTAGCTGCTCGGGCGTCGGGTTCCACCTCGAGCTCACAACAACATCTGGTTGTGTATTGAACTCCCTCTTGGTTTGGTCTCCCATGCCTGCTTTTAAAATGGATAAAAAAACAATGGCCCGAGTGACATCTGGTACCACAAGCATGCATATATAAATATAACCAAGTAATGAACAAGAAGAAGAAGAGAACGTACTGAGGTGATAATTTAGTGCGACAAACTCGGAGCCATTGATACGGCCAATACAAGGAGAGGTGGTGGGAGAAGAGATGGGCCTGGGAATCAAAGGCCTGAACTTCCTACTACCATTGAAGGGATCAGGCATGTTGAACTCGGCACCATCGTTGTAACCCATCATCCACATCTGGGTCAGCAGTAGAACTAGACAACGGAGAAGAACACCAATATAGTTTTAGGGTTTATTAATGAAGCATGCAATGACAATAAGGGAAAGGGGTATGGAAGAGAGGAAAACAAGCATGAGGTTGACTAATGAGGATGAATATATGAGGCAGAGGCTGTGTGGGAATGGGGGAGAAGAGAAGAGAAAAGGGCAAAGGGAGAGGCGTGGAATTCTGGGGAAAGGGATTTGGGGAGTGGTGAAAGAAAAACGACGTGACGATGATGAGGGTTATCATAAGCCTCATCACACCTCTCTTTCATTTATTGTTGCCTTCATGTCCTCTCCCTTTCATTCATATTCTCAATCCGAACTGCCCCTCTCTTCCCTTCTGCTTCCCTTACCCTTTTCTTTGTCTATATCCCCGCTCTCTGTCTCCCATGGATCCATCTCCTCTCTCCCTCTCTCTCTCCCCATGCATATTCATGTTCATGCATACGTATACACATACATGTAACATGTGTATCATTATTATTTTAAGCAATGAAGTTTTATAATGTCTCCAACATGGTTTGATTCATGCAATCATCGGTATCCTATATGGACGAGCATACGATTTTATACTAGAACGGAGAATTTATAAAATTTTAGGAGACAAAAAATATTATCAATAAAAAATAAAAGAAAATATTCAAATAATATGAGAATTTAAAATTTGTAAAAGTATCGCCCCATCAACCTCTCAATCCATCTAATAATCTCATTCGGTTAACAGATGATATGTAGGCGGAGCCGCATAGAGTTCAGGGTAGGTATGTGTAATACCCTGAAATCCAGGTTAGTAGTTTGGGTTAAATCAAGACCTTTAAGTCAAGCCAAATAAACCTCCCAAAATAGTTGGACCAAGTTATATAGGTGTTGGGCCTAAGGTAGGCCCAAGAGTTAAAGCTAATAGCTAGTTTTAAAGTGAGTTAATAGGTGAATGAGTTAATAGGTGAATGACGTAAAGTGTAGTTTACCCATTTTATTGAAGCTAAAAACTTTCCCCTCTTTTTATATCATTTCACGTAACCAAACTCCCCGTAATATTTGACCCAGTCTTCTTCTTCTTTCCATTAGTTTCCATTTCTTCTTCCTTTCAAGAGCGAAGTTTCAAGCATTCCAATCTTAGATTTGTTTAGCCAAGGTAAGAATGTTTCTCTCCATCATTCAAGCTTTGTTTCAAGCTCCATTTTGTGAGTTTTAGAATTTGTTTTCAAGATGGGTTTTTAGGAGTTTGAAAGGAACCTATAGATTTAAGCTTGTTTTGAGTAATAATAAGCAATATAGAGTGTTTTAAATTAGTTTGTAAGTCAAAGACAAGTTAGTAACCCTTGGTTTTGTTTTGATTATCCAATGAGGTGAGTGAAGTTCTAAAGCAAATGATAAAGGTAAGGTGACTCATAGTTGAGCTGAGGGAGATTTTAGCAACCAAGAAGGCCAAGTAACACACTATCAACTTTTCTATACTCTTAGTGATCATTAGAAATGAGTTATAGCTTGAGAGTAAGTTATTAAACTTAGTGTTATATGTTAATTGTAGATTACATGATTTATGTTATAAGCATTATATAAAGCCTTATTTATGCTCCTTGTAATCATATAAGACTTTAAAGAATGTTTGCGGACCTTACTAGGTCTTTAGGATTGAAATATAGCATTTTTGTATGTGTTTTATGACTTCTGCAGGTAGAGTATTAATATTATAAGAATAATATTGATATTTGTTCTTCGTTTTGGGGAAATTTGTAAGTTTCTGGGCAAGAGTATCGACACTCTTTCAAGAGTATCGAAGCTTTGGGTTATAGTTTTGAAACTCCCAGAAAGTTTCGAAATTGGGCAGAACATAATGTTTAAAAGTATCGATACTTATATAAAGTATCAAAACTTTTGTAGGAGTATCGATATTCCTGGGCTAGTATCGATACTTTCAGTCTGTTTTGGCCAAAACGTTGCCCAAGAGGCCCTAGACCCATAGTATGACCATAAATTGGATCGAATATGTGCAAAACACCATAATAAGCGCTATAGAAGGTGTTGAAGTTGGGTTAAAATGGATGAAATAGTTGTAGGGGTATTGATACTGCAAAGAGGGTATTGATACTGTAAGGCCAATATCGATACCAAGGGTATCGTTTGAGCTTTAAAGCACAAGTAAGTGTAGAGGCAAGAGAGGGTATCGATATTATAAGGCCAATATCAATACCAAGGTTGAGAAATGGGCTTTAAGTCAAGAGAAAATATAGAGGTAAGTGAGGTTTCGCAAAAAGCTTATAATTTCTCTCAAATAAGACTACAAGTGAGAACATTTATTAATGTTTAATTTGAAACGTAGAAACGAGAATAAAGTAGGGTGAAATAAAACTAGTGTTGTTTGAATGCTTGGGAAAATGACCAGGACACCCGAGTTCCTTTAGAAAATATAACAGAGTCGAAAGTATAGATTCAGTCCGAATATCCTTAGGGAGTGCGCAATGCACTTTAAGTTGACTAATTTGGGTGCAAGGTCCGACACTCAAGGAGTGGGCTAGTCGAGAGTGTGGTGCCCGATGTCGAGATGCAGAACTTTCAGCCGCACCATGATGTCTACCATAGAATAGAGAGTGAGTATACGAGTATACTCACTAAAGCATAACAGAGCAAACCAGATAGTAGTAGACCATATATCAGTAGACTTGATAGCTTGAGCATTTCATTGACAAACTTTTAGTATGTTTTAATTGTTAGTGTGACTTCCGTAGCAGGTTAGTAAAGTACGTCACAAGTTTCTTAAATGACATGTATATTCATGAATTTAGTTGTATTGAGTTGTAAAGTTAGTTAAGAGTTAGTATGTAGGTATATATATATTTTAAGGGATCTCAGATGTAAAGTGTCATTTTAAAGTACAAGAAAGTAAGAATAAGTTGGTTAGCCACTTCGGTGGTTCCATGTAGCACCTTGAATCGGTCGACTGTGTGTCGTACTAGTCTAGGGTGTTACAGTATGTGCCTACCTTGAAATCAGAATTTTCTTTGATTAATTCCTTATTCTGCTGACGGTGTCCATCCTGAAATTTTAGTTGAACCCACCCATTCAAAAATAATTTATGTTCAAATCTTCAAAACGAAACATATAACTTTATACATCTTCAACGAATTATATGTTAAATATTGTCAATTTTGGAAGGCAGAAAATGAGATGTTGCTTGTTTGTATAAGCAAGACAAAACAAGCTATTAAACTCTGTACTGTGCATGCAGACATACAAACAACACATGCACACAAGATTGTGGTTTGAAATGTTATACATATCCATACAAATTTAAATATATATTTTTTGTTCCTTTATATGTTTGCATTCAAAATTATACACGCACACATACATATATACATCCAAGTAGTATGATGTATCATAGTTGTCTTTAGCATGTATATGTGATGTTACTTGAAGACATTATATATGCATGGGATTGCTACATTTTTACAGCGTTGAAAGTGCTATTTGGAATCTTCCCTTTTCTTTTTTATGCAAAAGTCCATCATACAAAAAGTTGATGTATTTTATTTTCTTTATAAGATATATAAGGTTTAGCCCATTGGTCATTATGATGAAATGATTTGAATCTCTCCAGTTATTGGGTACCCTACTGTCCCTCCCTTTATAAATCTACGGGAATTCTTCATTATTAATTAATTATTACGATAGTGACTTAGCAAATTCTCTCTTTTGTAATCAAGTATAAGCCTTTTGTATATGATATAGTACCAAATGATTGACAATACTTTTCTAATATATATATATATATATTCAAAAATGAATTAATAAAATATGAAAATCCAAACTAAGAGATTGAGCATCTTTAAAATATATTAATCAATATATACAGTCAGCGACACATCTAAATTTTTTTTAAGGTGGACACATATATTAATAATATAAAATTTTTGTATATAAATAATTACTATAAAATTCAGGGCGAACACTATAAAATTATAGGGTGGTTAGTTGCACATAGAGGTGCACAAAAAATCTAAATATCCGATTTTGCGCAAAAAAATCCGAAATTAGATTTGGGAAAAACCGTTTTTAAAACCGGATCGGATATTTTAAAACCGGATAGTATAACCGGTTTGAGAAAAAATTGTACGATCGGATTTTTTACCGGATTAAAAACCGGTTTGAAAAAACCGGATAAAAAACTGGTTTTTTATCCCGAAAAAAATCCGATTTGGGGTTTAAAAATCCGGTATGGGTTTAAAAAATTGGATGACCGGATTTTTACCGAATTAAAAACCGTTTTTTTAAAAAAAAACCGGTTTTTTTTCAAACCGAAACCTGTTACACCGGTTACATCATCCGGCCCTCCAAACCGGTTATGATCCGAACCGGTTTTTTAGCTTAGTGAAAAAAGTGAAATAAAAAATAAAGAATTCAAGCACACACCATTATTGATGCAAATACATCATCAAAACGATGAACAAAAATCTTACTCGAGAGAAGTCGGAGACGAAGGCATCCTTCTCCTTCTCAACCCGCTGCAGGGCTTGTATGAACTGAAAGCATAACCCAAACCATTCATTTATTAGGCTCTAAAGGACTACACCATCAAATTTTAGTTCACACAAGTAGCGATTTATGTTCTACTTTTTCAATCTTCACATTGGACTGATAGAAACCGTGATAGAAAACAAGAACATCACATGTGTTCAACAGTTTGTTATTAATTTGAATGATACATACCTGGCCATAAGCTTTTACATCATGGAGATCATAGCCTCTCTGCTTGATATACGCCGCAAATTCTGGCGATGAAGCTCCGGCACTTTTGCAGTAATCACTAATAAGAACTTTGCCCCCTGGCTTCAACCATTTGAAGGAAGATCTAAATAGTGCAGGTTTGTCCTGAAAGTCGATTTTAGGTACAGAAGGTGATTATCAACTCTGTTTACTTGTCCATTACAGAACAGCTTTCCCTATAGAAATTCTCATGTTGACGCTTATGCTAAATGAGAATCTTTTCAAAGGGAGAACATATTTAATTAGGAAGAGAAAAGAAACCTATCAAAATATTAAGAAAAAACAAACACAAATCTCGTATGCTCTTACTTGAATGTGTAGAATGGTGTCACGACTGTATATAAAATCTTAAACAATTATCATATATCAATTAATAAATTAATTCTTAGCTCAGTTTATTATCAGTTTTTTAAATAAAAAAACTATAAGTTTAGAATATATGAATAGTTAGATGAATATTTTGTAAATTTTAAGAATCGATAGACTTAACAAAGCAACAACCTACAATTGAGAGATTATTTTATAAATTTTAATAATTGAAACACTCAATAAAATATTATCATATAATTGAGAGATTATTTGTGCACTGAAAAATTTTAGTCATCGTCTTTTTTAGAAATGTGCTTTTTCTAATTTTAAAGAGTACATCCTTTTATTTTTTAGAGAGTTTTTGTTGGAGTCGAGATCGATATCTTATTGACAGATGTCAATCTGCCAATCTTTAATAGAAAAGACGTTGACATTATTTTGAAGTCCGGATATTTTTAATTTGTGATGGAGAATATTTGACTAAAATAAAACAAAATCATATCATTATAGAATACATAATTTGTTGGTCAAATTTTATAATTAGTCCTTTTGTTACATATAAATTATAAGTATAATCTTAATATCAATTCTCAAAATATAGGGTAAAATTTATAACTTTGAGATTTTTTTTTACTATAAAATACGCCAGTAATCTTTTTTTTCATCTAATAAACCAGTAATCCTTGAATTATGACGTTTATATCATTTTGGTTGATAAACTTTTAAAAAATTATAAAATAACCTCTAGAACACAATTTTTTCCTACATACTATCATAATCTAGGGACTATTGCCGCAGTGCACCAAATTTTTTAAGGGTGAGGTATACAAATGATTTCCCGATTATAGGGTATTATTTTGTTGAGTCCTCAACTATTGAAAAATTATAAAATAGTCTTTCAACTATAAGATATTGCCCAAAACTGATAGTTTAGGTACTAAATATGTAATTTACCCTAAATAAAATTATGTTTGATTACCAATAAAAAGTGAATATTATTTAACATGCCAATCATAGATCAAAGCCAGCAACAAGAATATTCATTATGGTATGTCAATAAAAAATACATACACTAACTGTAACTATTAGTTATTAGAAAATGAGGTCTCGGACAAAAGAAGTTGTACATTTAGTTATTAAGATTTCATGCAAATAACAGTGGAAAGAATGTAATAATATTGAGCAAAAACGGGGATGAACAAGGCGTGATAAAATATGTATTGAAGAATGTTTAACAAGTAAAAGCTTCTCACAAAGACATCAAGCTCAAAGAATTAATACAAAAGGTAATTACTTCACTGGGTATCAATGGTGAGATAATTACCAAGATTTGTTCAATCCTATGTATGAGCCAAGTTCAGTTGCTGCTATAGAAAGATCTGACTACATATTCAAACTGTTCAATGAACAAACCAACCCCAGCACCAAACTGAAAAGGCATCCCGTACTGGAAGCTCCGGAACCTGCAGTGAAACGTAACGAGACAGAAGCTAGAACAGAACGGCATTTTTATGAACTTCACACACCTTTAGACCCAGGAAGGTCGATCCAGTTAAGTTCGATTTCCAGTTCACCGCACTCTACATTTCTTAAGCGGAGGCAAAGGTTTTGCACGACCTTCCCGTCGATCAACTTAATGGCGCTCTCTTCAGACAGGCAGTTGGTCCTGCACGGCTGCACTCTCGATATTGTGGTTCCGCTCGGAATGTCTTCCAAATCCTGTTTCAAGGCTTCCACGTAAGGCCTGATGTCAAATTCAGCATCTCCCATTTTGTCATCCTTGCTAAAAGTGTCATGGTCATACACCGTCTGGAGAGTCATGCAGACATAGAAAGTACCATAAACGAACTAGTAGCAGAAACGATCTCGTACATTGAAATGCCAAAAGAATAAAACATGATTATTGCCCTTGTAATATTCTTCACTTTAAAACTGATGCATATTTGCGTAAATGTTTAATAAAATCTTGGTACGTTTCTTAAATCTAAAGATATTCATGCTTGGACATGGGGTTTGCTATCTAATAATGAAACATGGGAGCACCTTGAGTTCCGCTCCTCTTTTGTTTTGTTTTCACTTGTTCTTTGATTCGATGCTACGCCAGTCAATCATTTATGCATACAAATATTCTATCATTTGATCGTGTTTTGCTGTCCATCAGCAATTCAGAAAACTGCAGAAGGGTGGCTACACAAGAGGCTGACCACTAAAACACTAAAACAGAAAATTGCTTTGGACTAAACTCCTGGAAAAACGCATATCTTTCCTTGATAGTTAAACAACTAAAAATACAAAACCAGGATCGGCATATGTTGACATTGAACAGCTTTGCAAAGAACACACGTTAACCCAGCTCAAGGAATTAAAAAGGAAAGAAACAAAGATTGAACATCATTAGCATGATCAAGAAGGCAAACAACAATTTAAGCATATAAACGATGAACCGATTTAAACACGTTTGCATACATATATATATGCAACTAAATCTAGAAGCCGTAAAACAATGTGGGAATGGTTATCTAGGAATCAATGGCTTCCGAAGCTAAGCACAAAATGTTCTCCTATATATAATGCAAGTGCTGGTTGTTGAACTGTCTTTCCGTTTCAAACTCCATTGATATTGTAACAAAAAACTTACCATTTTTATTGGAACACTAGGATCCATTACGGAAAGAGTCAAATCCTCATTCCACTCGGGATTAACATCCTTCTTTATTACACGAGTCTTCAGTTTCTGCAAAAGAAATGGTTACATACAGAATTAGAACAACGAGCAAGTTGCTCCAAAAAACGATTCCAGAAAACATTCATGCTCAGGCCATAAGTATAACATCCGAGTTCGACTATCGCGGTTAGCAATATCAAATTCATAATTTTACATGCTAAAAAGAATACAAATAGTTACCTTCAAACTAATTAGTAACATCAATAGAGTTATTCAATGTGAAAGTCAGTTATGATAAAAACAGGACTGCATAGGAATGAAATCTTTGAGATCCATCAATCAAAGGAACCTTATCTTCACGTTGTTAATTCTCGTATATAACCAGTAATCAAATTCAGCCAATGAAATAGCAATTGCTTCTGAGTCCAGAATTCTGAATTTCGAAAAGAACCCAGAATTTGGAAGCTTTTCAGGAGGGAATTACATTGCATCGAAGTCTTCTTCATAATTAATTGTAGACTTTTAACCCAAAAAAACAAAATTCCTGGCGAAATTGTCCGTAAAGGTCGCTGCTTCGGACATCACGAACGAAAAGGAACAGAGAAATAAGGAAGGGAGACAAGAGCATAGACGGAGACAGACAGACCTGTTTACCCATCTTAACGACAACGTAAGGGTCGCTGCTCCGGACATCACGAACGGCGAGGATGACGCCCCGTTTGACCCGAATACGTAGCAGGCCCAACAATTCGTCCATCAACGAAGTGCTCTTTGTTTTTTCTTCTCTGGGAGATTCTGCCATTTGGGTTCGGTCTCCCCTCTTATAATATTAAAAGGGACCCTCCCTTGGTCGATAGCCTGGGAGTTTTATTCTTTATAAAAGTTGCTAGAAACTATAAAGTATTTGAAGGGAGCGGGATGGTGGGCCCAGAGAAGCGTTATATCATAGGACAGTGATCGAGAAATCCGGTACTCGGTATGGGAAACTACTGGAAGGGAATGGGTCGTCGTTGTATATTTATGGAGGGATTTATTATTAGTACATGAGTTGTACAAATACAATTAGGGTAAACTATGTATTTAGTACCTAAATTATAAATTTTGATATGTTTTAATACTTAAACTTTCAATTTTTTTAAAATCATACCCAACGTTTATTTCTCATTTCACTTTTAGTACCACCATTAAAAACATAACGAGTTTAGTACTTATACTTTCAATTTTGGTTCGTTTCACTACATAAACTTTTAATTTTTTCAAAACTTAAAGTTAAATTCTGAACAGGGTACTAAAATGAACAAAAAAACTAACATTTTTAACGGCAAGATACTAAAATGAAACAAAAACTAAACTTTAGGTATGATTTTAAAAAAAATTAAAAGTTTAAATACTAAAACAGACTAAAACTGATAGTTTAGATACCAAACGTGTCATTTACTTAAAAAATTAAAAATAAAGCAACTTCAATTATAAATTATTTGAGTTATGTTAGAAAAATAATACTAATTGATTTTAAAATGGATTTAAAAAATATTAATGGAAAAAATAAATGAATATTTCCTAGAAATGAAGATTTTGTCATTTATTTTATTATTATGTGTGAAAAAAATAAAAATATTTAAATTATGTTTTTTAAAATGCGGGAAACTAGAAATCTACCAGCTAAATAACAGAATAACAGATCACAATTAATCAAGAATCGTCTTCTCCATATATAATAGAAATAAAGCAAGCTAAGTGAGAACAAAAATGGATGCAAGCTAAGGGAGTACCAAGTGAAGTCAGGAGGATACGATTATCCGTTTCAGTTGCCAGATCCAAGAGTACAAATGCACAATACATTGAGATCGACATTAGTGGTAGAAAGGGAAGATTGTCACCGCGAAGGTAAGAATGCAAAAAATGACCCCATATCTCGACAACCACAACACCCAAGAGGTAACTCTTTGCGACCCAACCGAGCTCGAACCATTGTTTCTTGGCAGAGGTTCTGGAACTTCCCATTGACTCGAATTGAGTGGCCTTCTTATCAGCCTGCAAAGAGCCCTTCGTTGCTACGATCTTCGGGTATAGTGCGGAAAAACAGAACCACATCAGGATTGTGTGTAGCAGCAACAGCAACACTTTTATTGGGTATTCTTGGGCTTCGTATGGAAGGGGAAAGAGCGAGTAGCAAGACACTGTTGCGACATATTTTGAACAATATTAGTTTTCGAAATTTCATGCTCGTAAGTGATAAACTACATGTCGATATTTTAGTTTGATGCCATCTGATAATAGAAATTAGACAATGTGAATGAAAGCATTATACTAACTAGAAAAGACTAGGTATCAGCTGAAACCATGGATGAATAGACAATGCCAAGGTTCTGCTTAAGTGTAATATCTGTACAAGTTCGAAATTTGACCAAGAGATAACAGAGAGGAGAAGGATTACCTACGGATAACAAGAAATAATGCTTTGCGTCCTCCAAACTTTCTACAGCAACAAGAGCAAGGGGGATAGATATGTGTAGTGATGCTTTCTCATGAACATGCCACCCAAATAAAAAACCACATGTGTATGCATAGGCGACTGATCTGGCAATCAGCCTCGGCCTGGGATCCCTCCAAGTTTTAAAAAGACAAGGAGATAAGGCAAGCAAGACTATAATGAAGGTTGTCGTGGGTGTTATCTGCCATTTCATTGAGATCCAATTATAAGACAGATTGATCAGTAAGTTTACCATAGACGAAACAGAAATAGCATCTCATCAACTGTTAAATATAAACAAGGAACAATATCTAATAACACAGCTAACAACCAATGCCTATACTCGTTGTTCAGGACATGTTTATCAAAGGGATAAGGGAGTAGGGATCGACATGAAGAATATCAAATTGATTGGCAATTCTGTACCAAGATCCATCCTACAATATTCACCGAATCTCCTTACCCGAGGTAATACGGCAAACGGTGATGCATCGCCAACTAGTCCACCCGTGAATGAGGCTACTGGTGTTGGAAACCCAAATTTCCTCAGCAAGAAAGCAATTCCTTTATCTAACATTAAAAATCTTAACTTATGAGAATACGGGGAAGGATACGGGGACGGGGACGGAGACTGGGATAGGAAACGATAATTTTTAAAATTATAGGACACGGGGACGGTAAAGATACGACATATAAAAAAATTTAAAATTATAAATAGATGTAAATAATCATAAATAAAGTCAATATTTCATAGAAAATTGGTATAACACCCTAATTTAAATCTAATTAAAAATCTTAACTTATGAGAATTTTTTTCCTAAATCCCTAAATTAATTTTGGTGGCCAATTTGAAAATACTGCAAAACTTATTGCTAGATTCGAAAGCCTTAGAATGCTCAGGGATGAACTGACAAGTAGACCAAAAATTCTTTAAATCTTATTATCTCTTCTTCCCCACGCCGCGCGGGGCCTGTTCCTTCCGGGTCGTTCTGCGGTGCGGCGCCTAAAAAACGGCTAATATACGGCGTGACCGGTTAAACAAGTGACCGGTTAAAATTTAGACCGGTTATGTTATATTATTTAACCGGAAATATTATAAAGTACAATAACATACTAGGTAGCGCTTATATAATGTAATAGGTAGCGCTTATATTTACCTATTTTATAAGTAAACTGGTATATTTATACCGATAGCATTGCAAATTTACCTATTACATTATATTATATTGAAAGTGTCCATACTTTTTATAAAAATGATCGATACTTTAACAGTGTTTCATGTTTTCCACCTACAATATTGATTTAATAATTTCATTTGCACAAAAAATTATTTGATTGTTTTGATATTTTATAAAATATTATTTAGAATTTTTAATTTAATAATAATATATACCGTAACGTAAAAAATAAATCATTAGACGCCTATAATTACTAAATTAATATCTTAAAACTCACTCAAAAGATAACCTTAAATTAATGTTTTCCACAGTGAAAAAAGTATGGACACTTTTATAAAAAGGATAGACACTTTACAATATAACCACTACCTATTGCTTGGCATCATATGAGATTTGGATTTTGATTTCCTTTTGCTTGGCACCATATGAGCTTTGGATTTTGATGAGCATCGGAAGTATTTCAGACTTATGATTTGGGTGGTACTCAACTTATGATTTTAGTTGCTATTTGTTACATTTCTTGTATACCACCCAGATCATACGCCCGAAACGTTTCTGACACAATATTAAAAAGTGTCGATATAGGTTGTAGACCTATTCGCGCATAAGACCGGTATATTTATACCGGTTATATTACAAAATTATCTATTACATTATAATTATGGGTTCCGATGTGTAAAATGTCGACACTTTTTTAAATTGTATCGACACATTTTTCTTCCAATATGGACATAAAGTACCGACACAATATTAAAAAGTGTCGATATAGGTTGTAGACCTATTGGCTCATAAAACCGGTATATTTATACCGGTTATATTACAAAATTATCTATTACATTATAATTATGGGTTCCGATGTGTAAAATGTCGACACTTTTTTAAATCGTATCGACACATTTTTCTTCCAATATGGACATAAAGTACCGACACAATATTAAAAAGTGTCGATATAGGTTGTAGACCTATTGGCTCATAAAACCGGTATATTTATACCGGTTATATTACAAAATTATCTATTACATTATAATTATGGGTTCCGATGTGTAAAATGTCGACACTTTTTTAAATCGTATCGACACATTTTTCTTCCAATATGGACATAAAGTACCGACACAATATTAAAAAGTGTCGATATAGGTTGTAGACCTATTCGCGCATAAGACCGGTATATTTATACCGGTTATATTACAAAATTATCTATTTTATTATAATATGTTGAAAGTGTCCATACTTTTTATAAAAAGGATCGATACTTTTTTTAAAGATATGTAATTTATGTTTCAATATTTTTTAAGTATGTTTCATGTTTTCCACCTACAATATTAATTTAATAATTTCATTTGCACAAAAAATTAGTTGATTGTGTTGATATTTTATAAAATAATATTAAGAATTTTTAATTTAACAATAATATACCGTAACGTAAAAAATTAATCATTAGACGCCTATAATTACTAAATTAATATCTTAAAACTCACTCAAAAGATAACCTTAAATTAATGTTTTCCACAGTGAAAAAGTATAGACACTTTTATAAAAAGGATAGATACTTTACAATATATTAAAAAAGTATAGACACTCAAATGTATATGTACACATAGAAGCAAATATGGAATAATTAATGAAAATATACATACAATATAATCACACCAAAATTTAAATACACAAGAATGTTCAAATAATGTACCGACAAACAAAATTAATCCGATGAAAAAGGGTTGTTTCTAACGAAGTCCGGAACATTAGAGGCCTTCAACAAATTTTCCAAATACTCTCGTATGTTTCCGCCTTTTTCTGAGGACATACATAAATAATTTCAATTATCAAACTAATGAGGTGCAATTTTACTAACAATAAATTAAATTCGCATAAGCATGAATAAATTTGTGTCATACCTAGAGCTTTGTCGTTCGAATGGGAAGCAGCGTCAAAGGTATGTGGACATATGTAATTGTATTTCTATATAAACACATAAGTTGTTAAAATAATCAATGTCTGAACACCTGTTCAACTGATCAGAAACATATTGCATAAATGCAACCTACCGGATTATAAATCATTTTTTCCGCTGAATCATCGACCAAAAGTGTATTTAGCTCGTTAAAATCTGGACACGCGTTCCAAACATCATTGAGATCTTTACAGTAGGTAACAGAATCGTATGTTTTGCATTTTTTTTGATCCTGTTCACAAACAGTCGAACATAAATATGTAGGAATCATAGACAAGGAAAAGTCAGCAAACTGTAATGACATTCATCTTACCCACACGAATAGAAAATGCTCGGAAAATACAGGTAGTTTCTCAAGTACACGGTCGACGTTATGCCTGAGATTGTAATCAAGTTTGAATGTTAACATTCAAATGTATATTAACGATTTTGACTACAGTAATTCAATTGCCTCAAACATGTTCTAACCTCATCTTTGAAGACCAAAGGGCAACAACAAAATTGTCGACACAAAATTGCATAAATTCAAATAATCCTCTTCTGAGGACAACATCTACAACATGAAGAAAATGAGATTAAAGTTCTACGCTTATATGTTAAAATAATGGATACAAAAGAATAGAATTAAAACCTGCCGGCAGTCTTGGGATGTAGGCAAGGACACCATTGAGATCAAAAATTAAAAGTTTTCTTGAAGGCGGCGTTGCAGACACGATATACTTGTTTGGATCATCATCTTCATCATCATCATCATCATCGTCAGCATCTTCATCGCCAGCTTCATCGTCATCATCATCATCGTCATCTTCATCGTCAGCTTCATCTTCTGCGACCGATTGGTTGTCCACATCTGTTAAAAGAAAATAAAATAAAGTTCAGAACGTGTAAATGTTAAGAAACATAGATAATGAATTACCTAACTCGTTTGATGTCGTTGACGTAATTCGTTACGCAACATGGAGACTTCACGTTGCAATGATGAAATATCGGATCGCATTCCACTCACAAGGGAATCAATATGCTCCCGAAAATTGACCATGTATTCCATCACGGTCTTAATTGTGACATCCTCTGCAACTGTTGCTTCTTCCATCATTGCGTCTCCACTTGGTTGCTCTTCTTCATGGCCAACGGGGTCCATTTCCTCCCTCTCTTGATCTAATCCGACCTCCTTGACACGCTTCCAACCGAGTTTTTCAACAAAATCATATCCCGCTTTTTTAATAAATACCATGTCAATCTTGCGGGTTAATCGAACAGGGGCGTCATGCGAAAAATCAACTTCCTTCTTCTTCAACAGATGGGTGATGACACATCCATATGGTAGTGTAGTTGAAATTGTTGCTCCCTTTGTGACCATATATACAATTGTATTAAATATGAGTTTTGCAATGTTTGGAGCCGTTTTGGATTTATACTTTGCTATCCACCAATAATCGCTGTCTCGAAGCGTTGAATGTTTTCCCCCACTAGGCCGGATATACCATGTGAGCATTTTGTGAAACACTCTCGACTCTACATCGAGGTGAATTGGGCTATTTCTAGTAACCCGTTTAATTGTAGACCAATCTACACCATTTTCATCTGAATCCCCTGTATTCGCTACACCTAAACCCTCCGCAATAGTTTCTGGAGATATATATATATCCTTCCCCATGACATGTGTATTAATTCCTATTATATTAGTCTTATTAGGCTCGTGCTGTAAGGAAGCATTGTTGTAGAAGACTCTAACTAGGTTGGGATAATATCTTGGTTCTACACCAAGGAATTCAAGCCAACCCCAAGATGTAAATATGGATTTAAAACTAAATGCATATTTATCATCAAACAAGAAACCCAGGTCAATGACACGTTCGGGACGAATCTTCCTTACTTTAAAACTCGTCAGCCATCTTTGTTTCTCCATGTCGGATCTAAAGTTCAGAGTTTCGAAGGACCTGATTTCCTCAGAAGAATCGTTTGTTACAGAAGGAGGTGGTTGAGAAGAACTGGGTTGAGAAGAGCTTTGAGAAAGACCTCGCTTCTGACGCTGACGTTTTGGAGCCATTTTGGTTGGATGCTACCCCTATTACAATGGAACACAAACACATTCAGGATAAAAACTCCAATATAGAAATCAATCAAACCCATAAAATATCGATAAATTTACCTGAATATCTGATCGTCACTTATGATAACGGTAGAAGGAAGAAAGAGGAGGAAGATCTGCCTGCTTGCATTTATGTTTAGGGTTTCTCGATTAAGAGTACTATATAAACGGTGGAAAACACTTGATATTTAAATTAGTATCGCACAAAATATATTAGTGTCGACACATTATTTAGACATATTCTCTCATAAAACCGGTATAATTGTACCGGTTAGATTGAAAAATTACATATTACATTATACTTTTGGGTTCGATGATTTTGGGATCGACACTTTTTATATATGGATCGACACTTT